CATAGGTATAAGGCAAGGATAGAAATAAGTCCAGAGAAACCGAAGCAATAAATATAATTTAAAAATATGACTGGCTGACTATGAGAGATATGAGGGATAAAGGTTAAATTTCTAATTTCCAGAAAGGAGGAGGCACAATGTGCATATCAAATGATGACATGATCAGTGACTTAATCTAAAACCTATTGTAACCAGAGTAAGGTAATAAGCTAAAACAAGATACACTACACTTCCTATTACATTTCTTTACTGATTAGAGATAGCATGTTAAAAAGCTATCAATTACTGTATAATTATTTATTCAACCAACAGATGAATTTTATAAATATCCACTAAGTCTTAGGTACTGTATCAGAAATTAGAAATTTAATGAGTATCAATATAAGACATACGTCTTGTAAAGTTTACATTCTAGTGTAATACATAGTAATATTTTGAGATGCAATGTGCGAGAAGTAAAATTTGTACTGAATCAGTAGGAGGAAGTCAAATTATAAGAAAGTCATAAAGAGATTTCAGGCAAAGAGTACATATAAAGCTCCAGAAATAAAACAGAATGGAAAATCTTTAATGAACTGGCATGTAGTTTAGCAGAATACTCCATTTATTTCCTCACAAAAAATTCCTTTCTCTAGTAATTTAGAAAATTCTTATCTGCTTTTAGATTATAAAAATGTATCTCTTCACATTTTTTAAGCTGATATCTAGCTCTATCTTTCCACCAGAAGTTTAGACAAGCAAAGAAAATGTGATTTTTTAAAAAATTTCATTTTCTTTTATACATTCAATCACATTATTTGGCTTACAAAATGGATTATTTCAAGAGGAGAATATTTCTCCCTAGTACAGTTGATAAAACTATAAGATATCTTCAACAGATAATATCACATTTCTTTGTCCTATTAATGCTTTGCCTCCCTATTTTTCTTCTAAATGTCCTTCCTCAGACCCTCCTCTTTCACACACACACTATATCTGATATTTACATTTATATACTGAAAATGTGTTTCTTAAACAACAACAAATATTGACATCTAAAAATCCTATCACTCTTTCAAATTTAAATAACCACAGCAATTTGGTATCCACCATAATCTGTTTTTAAATGCAAAAACTTGTTAAAAAAGAATTATCTACTTGTTCTTTTCCCTTTTAATCCACATTTCATTTTACTTAGTCTATAAAATTTCTATAAAGGAAGGTATTGTATACTTAGAAGTTCTTAATTGCCTTTCCTACCATACTTCTCTGCAAAAGACTGTATGCAAATGAAATTAAAATTTTTACACCATCCTATGAAATAAGGTATCAAGAATTAAATTTTTTCTCCCAGAATTGATTCTTTGCAATAGTATATACTTCATCAAAACAAAAATATTACCTATCTTAATAGCCATTAAATATAAAAACTAAAGTTTTACTAAAAATGTATCTTATGAGTTAAGTCAAATTATCTATAAATTATTCTGATTTAGCATCATCAAGATGAGTTGGATTATTAAAGAATTTCTATTCCTACTTCCATTTTTATAAATTTAACATGGAGATAATCAAATAATATTTTAACAAATAGTATTTTATTTCTTGACTGACATCTCCATTAGTCAGCTTCAAATTTTATTTAAAAATGAAAAATGGGTATGGCCTGGTGGAACAGTAATTAAGTGCTATGCATGATGAGCCTGATCCCATATGGCCAACCATAGTTGGAATCTGGCCCGAGTGGCTTGAAAAACCTGACAGGCATGTGTGTATGCACATCCCAAATCCTGATGAGATGGAGAAGTGGAGGAAAAAGGATTGTGGCATGATTATACTCCACTGGGGTGTGCTTTCTCGCTTGCTCTCTCTGGAGTTCATGTGTCTTCTGGCAATTAAAAAACATATACCAAAAAGAAAAGGATTTATTACTCCAGCAGAGATCATTTTCCCAAATCCTTTGTGTATATGACATATAAAAATAGTATAAAGATTTATCATTTTCTATCACTCAAAGTCTTCTTTTTTATCATAGGACACAAAAAGGATTGGCAAAAGTTAAGATATTGGTTGAGTATGTATCCCTTATCCAAGATGCCTGGAAGTGTTTCAAATTTTAATTTAATTTTTTTGATTATGTAATAGTTGTATATACATAGAGATATATGTAGGATGGGACCACAGTCTAAACAAAAAATTAGTTATGTTTCATATATATCTTATATACATAACGTGAAGGTAATTTTATATAATGTATATTTTAAAACTTTTTTCTTTATTCATGATAGAGAGAGGGAGAGAGAAGGATAAGCACTCTCCATAGGATCTGGTCATACCACAATCCCCTTCCACCAGAGCCCATCAGATTTTGGCAACTTATGCCTGTACCTGACTTGTTTCAGACCAAACAGGCTGAGGATTCAAACTGTAGTCCCCAAGTGAGAGCCAGCATCTCTCCAGTTGCATGTTAGTGTTGCACCGCAGAGCTGCTCCTATGTAATAATTTTGTATTGCAGCTGTCTGACTATAACAAGTCACATGAGGTCAGGTGGAGAACTTTCCATCTGTAACATCACAGCTGCAATACAAAATTGACACCATTTCCCACACACTAAATAGGCAAAAATTCAACATCCAATAACATTAAATGTGGTGTTTTTTATTATTCTTCTTTAAACTCTGTATGTACATTATGTATGTCCTTTATTATGCATATTTCATAACAAAAACATTTTTAAAGTGTCTCCTGGACTTAGCAATAAAAATATTCACAATCCCAACAGGAGCATATTTAGCAAAATAGCGGGTATGAAAACCATACAGTAATGCGCTGAAAAGGCTCTGGGAGATAAGAATACAAAGGCAAAAACAGGCAACTATTTCAAGTTTAAGTATGAAGCTGGGCAGACAGGACTCTACAGTACTTTAGAAAAATGTCATGGTGAGAGCTTGTTATTATCTTAGAGAGATTTTTACTATAGGGCAAGTGTGCTTGCCAGAGAGAGAGAAAGAGAGAAATAGAAAGTGAGAAATCACCCTCCCGAGGGTATGGCCACACCACAGTCCCTTTTCCTGCACTTGGGATTTTGGGCATGCACACACATGCACCTGGAGTGAGTTTCAAGCTGCCAGGTTCAGGACTCGAATCACGTGGGCTATGCAGAAGTCCAGCGATCTAACCATTATGCCATCCTCTGGTCCCAGAGCTTGTTATTTTTTACATAAAGGCTACTGGAGCAAGCTTACAAAGTAGAGCAAGAGAAACAGGGGATAATGACACAGGAAATGAATCCTTGGGCAGTCAAAAAGATATAATACAGAGCCCATGAATAGGGATTAGTTTTAGGCAGGAACTAGGTATTTATTTTACTATTAGGAGCATTTACTTCTTTGTCCTTAACACAACACTTTCTCCTTGGCTTTGTCCACTCTCTTCACAATGGTCTCCTCGCTCTGACTTCCAGCAAGCTTCTGCCTCAAAACCTTAACACTTTTTATTCCCTCTACGGAGAATATCCTTTCCCACTGATGCAATGCCTGCTTTTTCAATCTTGTTCAAATGTCGGCTCAGTGATGGTAAAGCTGAAATTCCCTCTGCACTCCCTACCGTTACTGCTCCCAGTGTTCCCATATTTCTTGTTCTTGTTTTTTTCTTCACAACCTTCTACTGTTCTGTATAATATAACTGTCTAATTGTTTAGTGCCCTTACCCCAATTGAATATAAGTTCCATGAATGCAAGAACTATAGCCATAAAGCCTAATAATGCTTGCTACAGAAAAGTTCTCACATATCCAAAGAACATTCGGTGGTCCTTGTTTCAGGCACAGAAAGAACAAAAACAAGTATAATGGAAATAATCCTGTAAGATTTAAACAAAATGAGGGCAGGCACAGAGAATAATCAATCTACTTCTTACAGAAGAGGTGACATTTTCCATAGGTCTTGAATAAAGAGGAGTCTGTCAAGTGCAGAAAGGTGGATATTTCAAGAAAGTGAAGAGCATGAGGTTTGCACATTTGAGAAAGGGGGTACACATGGAGTAGGGCAGGGATGACAGTGGGGGTAACCTTACAATACCTGCAACAAAGGACACATTCTATGAAGCTTCCCAACTCTAAAAAAAGCCTTTCAGAAGACTGACAGTTGTGTGGTCACTTGTTTATTTGCAGTGAAGTTGGAATATGGAATACACAACCAAGTTTACATAAAACCACTACAACTACTCCCTTTACTCACTACATAGAGAAAAGTCCGAACAAATCTGTGTTTTTCCACCAATTGTGGGCTGACATGTATTTGTAAGTGGGAACAGTGCTACCAAAGTTTCAACTACAGGTATTATTTAACGAAGTCAAGGTTAAATATCCTCCTTAGTGGAGGACAGCAACTTGGATGCAGACAGGGGAATGGTCAATTCGACTTTTTTTTTTTTTTTTAAATAGCAGATACTCTCTCCATGTAACTACTTACGAGTTTTCAATGGGCTTCCATGCCGTACTAACCGGCACTTAGTATGTTCCCAACTTGTCTATCATGCACTCACACTAGTCTAAGTGACTCGTTTTTACCTTAACCCCAAGTCCAACTTGTCTATCATGCACTATCATGCACTCACACTACTCTAAGTGACTCGTTTTTACCTTAACCCCAAGTCCATGAGTCGACTCTCCATGTTATTTTCAGGATTCCCAGGATACTCCTGTCATATATACACGAAGAAAACCTGGGGATGGGGCGGGGCATGTGTTTTAAAGTTCACAAGCCCCTGTACTCAGTTCTGGAGCATTTAAGTATAAGATCGGAGAGGCGGTGGAAAGCACCGCGCTTTCGGGATTTTTGCGTTTCTGGGGTGAAGGTCTGGCTGCCTAAGCGAGGTAGGCAGCGCGGCTTCCAGGGCAGGCCGGAGGTCAACGCTCAGGTCCAAAGCCAGGGGGCGGGGCATGCCCCTGGAACCTGGGGCGGTGGGTGGGCCCCGAAGTGCACACACTAACGGGGGCGCGGTGACTCCGAAAGACTCACAGTAATAGGCCACCACAGGGTCCCGCTTGTCATGTTCCTGAGCCGTCCTCAGATGATGCTGTATGCTCTTAAACTGTGGGGGGAGCGGGGGGAGCGGAGCAAGCGCGGCCATCTCCCCTCCAGGAATCACCACTTCCTACTAGCGCGCCACCAGCACTTCCGCTTCCGTTTGGACTCTCGCGCGTAAGAACGCTCAGGGCAAATCCCACCCACTCTTCCGTACGTCAAGTGCACTACGGATGCATAGTAGGGACAATCTAAGCTTGCCGGGCTCTTGGCAGAGCTCAAGACCAGGCTGAGAGGCAAGGGAGTTCCTCCGCACATGGCACTAGCACCCTCTGCTGGTAAGAGGAAGAACAGTTTCATCTTGTCTTTTTGTTTAGTTTTTCTATTGGCCCAAGAAAAGCTAGAAAAGAGAAAAATAAGACAATGATGACTGTTGACAGGGAGAAAGGGCAAAGGTGTGAATTGTCTTTGGTATCTTTCGGAAATCGTCCCTTCCAGTTCCTCAAATAATAATATCTATAAAAGCCTTTTTGACTTTAGAAATTTTAATTTCAATTCGTGCATGAGAAGACAAATGATATGTTTCAAGTTTAAATTAAAATTTTCTGCACTGATACATTGGATAAAATAAGCAGACTGTTTTCCAACTTAAATGCTAGATACATGAAGCTCACAGAAAAGTGAACTTTTGTTCTGAACTGCATAGCATATATTTTAGTGAATGAATAATCCGTAGTTTGCTTATATTTGGAGCGTGATTAACTACTTGGAAAATATTTTCACATTGGTTTTCTTGTTTTAAAGTGAAGATAGTGGGTTTGGAACTTCTTCAGTGCCGGGGTTGCATAAGCATCAGTTTTTTCAATTCCTTTTCTCTTTCCATCATCCTTCAGGAGTTTATATTTTATCTACTTCCTTCAGTAACCTTCATCTCTCTTTATTTTCTCAGTCAAGTTTTGAAGATTCATCTTAAAACTAGTTTTCATTGAAATTGCACTACCTTCAAGAATGAAAAATCTCCAGCTCTGAAATTTCTGTTTGTCTAGTATTTCTAACTTCATGGTTCCAAACCATGAAGAAAACACTCCATGTCCTTATATCATCCCATTCCACATCATTTGTCTCTATCTGATGTAAAGTCTGTCATCTTCTAGTTTTGGCTTTTTTGCCTAACATGAAACTGAGTTCTGGATCCTGCCACAATCTCAGCAACAGCTTGTGAAGATAAAAAATTAAAAAAAAAATTTAAGGATTTAAATTGTCTTTTACTGACAATTCTAGAATCAGGCAGCCCTCAGAAACAGAACAGGTTCAAAGGTGTCCAGCCAGTAACATGGTCTGACAACATCCCTGGATAGAAAACAGAAATGAGCTATGGAGCCTGTTGGTTACAGCTTTGCCCTCTTTGAATCAGACAGCCTCCTAAGATTGTGCCAAGCTCAGCTGCTGTAATTCTGGAGACTCTGCAGTTTGTTACAAAATTGGGTTGCAGTTCTCAAGTAAAAGAGACATCCTCAGATTCAAACCTAATTCAGTTTAATCTCATCCATTACCACTTGAGAGTATGTATTTTCCTTCCCTTTCTCTTACCCCCGTTATCCTGACTTTTCAGTCAGAAGTTGCTGAATTAGTAGAGAAATTAATAAGAAAAGCAGTCCAGGGTAACCATAAATATGTTCTTTCCTCATATTTTTTCACTTACTGTTTTTCTGTTGATTCTCAACTATGGTGGCCCTTAATGATTAACTCAAAAACTTTAAGAAAGTCTCATATCCAAGTCCCAATTCCAGGCATTCTGATTTTATTGTTCTGGTATCTTAGAATAGAATATCAGTATTTTTAAAGGTCTTTATGAAATTTTAACGGTACACCTAGAGTTGAGGACCTGTGCCCTAAGAGAATGTCTATAGATGATGTTTTAAACTTTCTCCACTCACTTCAAGATAGGCCTTCTGTCCTGATTATTTTGATCAATAATTGTATTTTCTGCTCTTGAGATAAAAGCAACCACATATCAATTATCCCACCTTTTCTCTGCCACAACTCAAAGTAATAACCAGCTAGCATTTGCTGAGCAGATACTATGTATGATGTGTGTTTCTAGGTTCTTCACATTATATTTGTTAAATTGTCACCACACTTCTGTGAGGAAGGTATTGATCATATTATTTTAGAGATTGGAAAATTGACATACACTGCAGGTTACTTGCGTATTGTCACATTCAGTAAGGTTTTGTGTTCAATATTTAAATCTAGGTATTATTCTTTCAGAGTCTGTACAACTAACCATCAGTACTTGACTATGTCTGGCTATACCAATATATCTCTGGGCTTCATCTTTTCTCTATCATCCAGTGTCTAAAAACAGATGGTCCTCTTCCTGCACCATCCTGTTACTCCCCTGACCTCTCTCTTCAGAACTGGGGGTTGCCAGTCCCTTTTTCATTTGCATGCATTCAGGGTGAGGGAAAATAAACAAGAGAACTGGTTAGAATTGATGTTACTCCATAAGCCAACACATGCTTTCTTCTTTTTAAATCCTCTACTAAATTAGGAGAGGATATTTGAAACAAGGGAGGAAGAACAGAGACACTGTTTTCATAAGAGTACGCTGAAGTTGTGCTGTGAAACAAAGGAAATAGTAACAACAGCAAGGATGTTTTCTCTTGTTTTAGTGTGGAAAATGTTCTGCGTCATTTTACTGTGATGTTCCTAAGCTTTTCTCCATCAAGCTTCTATCGTTTTCTGAAAGATCTGAATTACTCTCCATAATGAGGTTAGAACTTTGGCTATTGATAGGAGAACTTGCATGGAGAGTAAAATAGTTGAGGACAACCATAGAAAGAAAAACATGAGAGAAAAACGAGACCTGGTGTTCTGATGGGAACAGTTAAACATGTGTATGAGCCCCAGGCATCCATATGTACATGGGATCATATCATAGTAAAATAATTTGCTGAGTGCCAGAGCTATTTTAGTGGAAAATGGCAGAGGATCAATCCATGTAATGAGTATGATATGTATCAATAGCTGTATCTTTGGAGTATATTGTATGTGGTAGGAATTTGGCTTCTTGTATCATAAGGTTCACATTTTATTAGTTTTGCAGCCCCTAAAATAGACATAACTTTCTTTTAAAAATTCAAAGAGAAAAATGACAGAGAGGACCATGAGGACTTGGCCAGGTGCATTCATGCACACATGGCTGGGATACTTTGAAACTCATTGAGTTGGAGTTTGTGTTTTAAACATGGGTATTTCGGTGTTCCAGCATCATGGAATTACATTAATACATTAGAGAAATAGCTAACTGTATATATGCAGAACTACTCTGGATCTCTCTGTTGTTGCTTTTTAACGTGACTGCCTTCATACTGACATACTGTTTTGACAATTGTATCTTTAAAGAAGCCTTGTTGGTGTGTAGTCTGAGTCCTCTCCTTTTTTTTAAAAAAATTCCATTAGCTATTTCTAGGCCTTTTGTATTTCCATTTAATCTTTTTTTTTTTACTTTTAAAATGTATTTTTATTATGTTTTATATTACATTTAATCACATATATCTTTACAGTGTTTAACATTTATTTCCCCAGCAAATTACCATGCATATCAGTCAAGACAAAGACATTACTATCCACATCAGCAGCAGCAAGTAGCTTTTAATTTTTTTCATATTATTATTTTTATTCTTATTTTTTAAAAATTCAATCATTATACATCATTTGGCTTATAAAGAATTAGTAATAAATAACCTCCCAATAAAGAAAAGCCCTGGTTCTGATGGCTTTACCTCTAAATTCTACAAAACTTTCAAAGAAGAGTTAACTCCCATTCTGCTCAAGTTGTTTCTAAAGATCCGGAAGGGTGACTCTCTCCCTAATTCATTCTATGAAGCCTTTATCACCCTTATCCTTAAAACAGATAAGGACAGGACAAGGAAGGGAAACTATAGATCAATATCTGTGATGAATATAGACACAAAGAATCTCAACAAGATACTAGCAATTCTTATCCAACAACTTATAAAAAAGATTATACATCATGATCAGGTAGGCTTTATTCCAGGAATGCAAGGTTGGGTCAACATACAAAAAACCATAAATGTAGTACACCATATTAACAAGAAGAAAGATAAAAACAATATGATCATATAAATTGATGAAGAAAAAGCATTTGATAAAATACAACATCCATTCATGATCGTGACTCTCAGCAATATCAGCAAAGAAGGATCACTTCTCAACACAATAAAAGCTATCTATGAAAAACCCAGAGCAAACATTGTCCTGGATGGAGAAAAACAGCTTTTCTACTAAACACTGGTATAAGACAAGGATGACCACTGTATTCACTCCTTTTCAATATAGTACTTGAAGTCCTCACTAATGCAATCAGAAAAGAGAAAAAAAAGGCATTCAAATAGGAAAAGAAGAGGTAAAACTCTATTTGCAGATGACATGATTGTATACATAGCACACCCAATGGTATCCATGAAAAATTTTCTGGAAGTAATACATGAATACAGTAAAGTTGCAGGTTACAAAATCAACATACAGAAATCTAATATTTCTATATATAAAGATCAGGCAGACTGAGATAGAACTGGAAAAAAGTAATTCCATACCATAGCCACAAAAAGAATAAGATTCCTAGGAATAAATCTAACCAAAGAAGTTAAAAACCTTCATAAGGAAAACTGTGAGAAGCTAAAAAAAATAAATAGAAAATGACACAAAAAAGTGGAAGGACCTCCCATGTTCTATCTCA